ATTTTTGTGTCGCCTCTACGGAGTAGTGGCGACATATAGGGATCACTTCTCCGTCGTCTGTCTGTCTGTCCGTCCGTCCGTCCGTCCGTCACAAAACTTGTCCGGACTACTCCTCATAAACTACTGGTGCAATTTCATCCAAACTTTACAGGAATGATCAGTACCAAGTCTAGTTGTGCATATTGTCAGCATTTTCCGGTTCAATGATTTTTGTCAGAGTTATGGCCCTTTAATAATTTTTATTTTTAAAGTTTGTCCGGACTACTTCTCTTATACCACTAATGCAATTTCAATGAAACTTTACAGGATTGATCTGTAGCTCAAGTCCTTGCGCATATTGCACGGGTTTTCCGGTTGATTGATTTTTGGCCGAGTTATGGCCCTTTGTTAAAAAGGTGTTTTTTTCTGTGTGTTGCCAGATACACAAAAGCTTGTCCGGACTACTCCTCATAAACTACTGGTGCAATTTCATCCAAACTTTACAGGAATTATCAGTACCAAGTCTAGTTGTGCATATTGTCAGCATTTTCCGTTTCAATGATTTTTGCAAGAGTTATGGCCCTTTAATAATTTTTATTTTTAAAGTTTGTCCGGACTACTTCTCTTATACCACTAATGCAATTTCAATGAAACTTTACAGGATTGATCTGTAGCTCAAGTCCTTGCGCATATTGCACGGGTTTTCCGGTTGATTGATTTTTGGCCGAGTTATGGCCCTTTGTTAAAAAGGTGTTTTTTTTCTGTGTGTTGCCAGATACACAAAAGCTTGTCCAGACTACTCCTCATAAACTACTGGTGCAATTTCATCCAAACTTTACAGGAATGATCAGTACCAAGTCTAGTTGTGCATATTGTCAGCATTTTCCGGTTCAATGATTTTTGTCAGAGTTATGGCCCTTTAATAATTTTTATTTTTAATGTTTGTCCGGACTACTTCTCTTTTACCACTAATGCAATTTCAATGAAACTTTACAGGATTGATCTGTAGCTCAAGTCCTTGCGCATATTGCACGGGTTTTTTGGTTGAATGATTTTGGCTGAGTTATGGCCCTTTGATAAAAAGGTGTTTTTAGTCCCCTACCGGTTTAACCGGAGGGGACTTTAGGTTTACCCTCCGTCCGTCTGTCTGTCTGTCTTTCCGTCCGTCTGTCAGTCCGTCAGTCCGTCCGTCCACAAAACTGGATCCCGCGATAACGCAAAAAGTACTGAAAATATTTTTATGAAACTTGATATATGGATAGATGGCAGTATGGAGATTATGCACGTCTTTTTTTTTTCTTCCTATGTTGAAAATTCTGGTTGCTATGGCAACAAATAGTCTGAAAATATGGCAAATTTAACACATAAACTGGATCCAGTGATAACTCAAAAAGTACTGAAAATATTTTTATGAAACTTGAAATATGGCTAGATGGCAGTCTGGAGATTATGCACATCCTTTTCTTTTCTTCCTATGTTGAAAATTCTGGTTGCTATGGCAACAAATAGCCTGAATTTCAAGATTTCTGATTTAAATTTTTCAGCTTTTTCACTATATGTTCTTTATTTCTTAAGGTGTTTACTTCAAACTTTAAATATAAGTTTCTGGTCATCAACCACATCATATGTGACAAGGTTTATAACTCTAGCACAAAAATATCAGTATTACCTCCCTTGAACTTAGATTTTTTAGGGGAAAAAATGTTGTCTTTTTTAAATAACTTCTTTATTTCCTAATGTATCTACTTCAAACTTCATATATATATTTCTTATTATCACTCGACATTTTTGAGAAGGTTAAATATTCTAGCAAGACTATTTCCAGAATTATGTCCCCCTTGAACTTAGATTTTTTTCGAGAAACTGGTATTTTCACTCCAACTTCTTCATTCCTTATAGGATTTACTTTAAAATCCCACATCGTAATAATATGACAAGGTTGTATAAACATAATTTCCTTACTAAGCATGGAAACTTAACACATTACTGTGATATAGACAAACTTATTTTATTAACCAGGTTTTCCGAAGGAAAAAACTGGTTATTAGATTGAGGTATGTCGGCGGGCGGGCGGACGGGCGGGCGGCGCGGCGGGGGCCGGGCGTAAACAATTTCTTTCTGTGCGCAACTTCCTCCTACATTTCTTCAACGGATTTTGACCAAACTTTCACAGAAGCTTTGTCATCAAGTGCCCTGGCGCATATTGTCGGGGTTTTGCGATTAGATAATATTTGACCTAATTATGGCCCTTTGTTTTTTTTTCCTTATATAAAATATATAGTGAACAATTTCTTCTGTGCGCAACTCCTCCTACATTTCTCAACGGATTTTGACCAAACTTTCTCAGAAGCTTTGTCATCAAGTGCCCTGACACATATTGCCAGGGTTTTGCGATTGGTATATATTTGACCTAATTATGGCCCTTTTTTTTTTTTCCTTATATAGAATATATATAGTGAACAATTTCTTCTGTGCGCAACTCCTCCTACATTTCTCAACGGATTTTGACCAAACTTTTCACAGAAGCTTTGTCATCAAGTGCCCTGGCGCATAATTGCCAGGGGTTTTGCGATTAGATAATATTTGACCTAATTATGGCCCTTTGTTTTTTTTCCTTATATAAAATATATAGTGAACAATTTCTTCTGTGCGCAACTCCTCCTACATTTCTCAACGGATTTTGACCAAACTTTCTCAGAAGCTTTGTCATCAAGTGCCCTGACACATATTGCCAGGGTTTTGCGATTTATATTTGACCTAATTATGGCCCTTTGTTTTTTTTTCCTTATATAGAATATATAGTGAACAATTTCTTCTGTGCGCAACTGCTCATACATTTCTCAACGAATTTTGACCAAACTTTCTTAGAAGCTTTGTTATCAAGTGCCTGGCACATATTGTCGGGGGTTTTGTGATTGGATAATATTTGACCGAATTATGGCCCTTTGTATATTTTTTCCTTATACAGAATATATAGAGAACAATTTCTTCTGTGCTCAACTCCTCCTACATTTCTCAACGGATTTTGACCAAACTTTCTTAGAAGCTTTGTTTTCAAGTACCTGGCACATATTGTCGGGGTTTTGTGATTGGAAATATTGACCGAATTATGGCCCTTTGTATATTTTTTCCTTATACAGAATATATAGTGAACAATTTCTACAGTGCTCAACTTCTCCTACATTTCTCAATGGATTTTGACCAAACTTTCACAGAAGCTTTGTCATCAAGTGCCCTGGCGCTCACTAAATTCCCATGTTTCTTCCAAGACATCATTCAAGTATTTTTTTAAAATTGTGAACATACTTTTCTTGATATCGCACAAAACACCACACGCCAATATTGTTGACAAAAGAAAATAACAAGAGACGCAAAAATGCAAAAATTAAGCAAAAATAAAGTACTGTTTACCTTTCTAAAACATTTGGGAAAAAAAGGCGAATAGACAACATAAAATTTCTCAATCATTTTTGTTTGAGGAATATTAAAAAAGCCATAATTCCTCCTAAAAGTTCAATTAAAAACAAATGCCCCTTCATGACAAAGCTTCTGTGAAATATTTTGTTGAAAACCTGGTTGCATCGCATTGCGATGGTTCCTTGTTATGTTTTGTGGTCGATATTTTCAAATACAGACTTAATTTATTTCATCCTCAAATTCATTATAAATGGCAATACACAGGAGTGTATGACAATTAAAGAACTTTTTGAGGGACCGGTAGGGGACTACTGTATTGCCCGCAATACTATCAAATGCTTGTTTTCTGTGTGTTGCCAGATACACAAAAGCTTGTCCAGACTACTCCTCAAAAACTTACTGGTGCAATTTTATTCAAACTTTACAATAATGATCAGTACCAAGTCTAGTTGTGCACTGTCCGTCTGTCTGTCTGTCACAAAACTTGTCCCAACATGAAATTGGCCATTATGAGGCGACACATGTGATTACTGATCGCTCTTGTGTTAGTTTATCAAAAATCTGTCAGTTTCTTCAAAGAAGTACAACATTATGTTTTCCTTTTGGTTAAATTACTTTTCAAGGCTAATTATTTGGACTAGCCATTGACTTATATAATGAAGTTACAAAAGGCATAACAATACGAAAGGAACTAACTAAACCAGCTTATAGTAAATATTTTGCGTGTGATTTTAACGTGACACCGGGTCACGGAATTAATCTCAAATGAATGTAGCTCTTACTGTTTACATGTACTTTCAAATAACACTAAGACAATTAAAATAGTAACGATTAAAGCATTTTATAACACATTTAAAAGCATATAAAGGATGTTTGAACAATCGGCCTTGTAATTAATACCTGTCTCACATGTTGATCGGAAATCGTCTTCGCGGCCAGATAAGTTATCAAAAATGTCTCGAGATCGAAGGTGTAAAAATAATTTTCGACTTAATTATTTGTGGTAATTTTTTTCTAGATTTATTCTTTATGGAGCACAAAAAACTTTCGACACATCGAAAAATTTGACCCATAAAATTTCGACTTGCAAATAGGTTTTTATAGGAATATATAGGGGGAAAATCGGGACTTTCATTTTACTTTGACACATCGAGAAAATCAACTAATCGAAGTTCGACTAATGGAAGTTCTACTGTATTTCCTTTAAATTGATGAGACACAGTGCTGGCCCCATGTTCACTAAGATTTAAGTATCAGGATCAAGATCAAAATTAAAAACTCACTTATTTTAAATGGTTTACCCTCAATTTATTATCTGCTACATAAATATGTAATATCAGATCATATACTTCACACTTGACAACAACATTAATGTGTAATTATTTTGGTGGTTTGTTGTTATGTGTGATACTAAATACTATCAAAATTATTATTTATTGTATTACAGACCTTCTGTAATAGACAAATTCACTCAAACTTACCAAAAAACATTTTTTATTCTTCAGAAAAAGACTATTGTAACTGTTAAAGTATCCTTCATATTTGAGTTAAATTGTTTTTGCTTCAAATATTTTATTCTTTTTAATATCTTTAATCTTTTACAGATGACAGTAAAGGATGAGAAAAATCAGCACTTTACTTCAGAATCCAAATCTGGTTTAAAGTCAAAGTTTATGAAAGATGCTAAGCAAAATAAAATAACAGAAGTCAATGATGATGGAAGTGACATGACCCAAGAGACAGAAGACACTGAGATAGAAATTGAAGGTGAAAAGAAAACTCCAGAGACTGAAGGTGAAAAGAAACTTTTGGTTTTAAAAAGGGATGTTAAAAGAATTAACCTCAGATTTTCTGTCAGTTGGCTTGTCTGTCCGTTCCTTAGGTTGTTTCCTAAGATCACTTTATAGAACTTGAAACTTTTCAAACAATTTTTTTTAAAATAGAGAAAAGTTGAAACATGAGTTATGTATATTTATGTTAAGAAAATGGGATCTTGTGATTTTTTGTTGTATAAACATAATTTCCTTAAAAGGCAGGGAAACTTAACACATTACTATGATACCTACAAGCTAAGAACTCGAAAGATTTAAGTTCATTCATTTTTTCCACATTGGCATAATTTAATGGCCTGACCTTTCAGAATGTTGCTGGGGTTCTAACCGATAAGGGATTTTTGTTTTGCTTGCAATACTGTGATAATTGCTATTTTATTTATGGATGTGGCTCAGTCTTTGACAAAAGAATTTTTATTTCAAAACCTTGCAATAATGATTATTCAAATATGACCTTTGCCATCAAGGTGAAATGTGAAATTTGAATTATAACTTTTCAAGACAATTATGATTTCAAGGAGTATTTTACAGTAGTATTCTTCTTTCTTTAATTTGCTTGACCTCAAAAGTAATAAAGAATTTAGTGTGGTCCCCGCCTGGCGGTTATTCTTGTTGGAAATTCAAAGTTAACAATAATTTAGCAGCAAATAATAAATATAAAGGATATAAAATGTATGTAGGTTCATTAATGAATTTATTGAAAGAGTTGAATTAAATTATACTATACATGCCTTATGGCGAACATAATATTATTCTATTCAATGAGTGCAATAAATTTAGTGATGTAGCCACACAAATATAATATTCTATTTATCACATATCCAAAATAAAAACTATTGACTGAAGAAATTAATGGTTTACCACTTTTTAGCTCGACTATACAAAGTGTATTGAGAGTTGTCCTAATCGCCTGGACGTCGGCGTTAGATTAAAGTTTTGGTGCAGTAAAATATTTTTCACTATAACTTTTTCATTTCTTAAGGTATCAACTTCAAACTTCAAATATAATTTTATTCTTTATCATCAACTTCATCCTATGTGACAAGTTTCATAACTCTATCACCAATATTTTCAGATTTATCTCCCCTTGAACTTAGTTTTTTCTTTAAAAAATTTAATTTTACTGTTACTTTTTTATTTCTTAAGGGATCATATTCATACTTCAAATATATGTTCCTTATCTGATCATCCACATCTTATGTGACAAGCTTCATAACTCTAGCACCAATGTTTTCAACTTGGAATTTTCCTTAAAAAATATTATTTTTGTTACTATTACTTCTTTATTTCTTAAGCAATCAACTTCATGCTTCAAATATATGTTCCTTATCATTAACCACATCTTATGTGAAAAGGTTCATAACTCTAGCACCAATATTTTCATATTTATCTTTGAACTTAGAATTTTCCTTAAAAAAAATATTTTTTACTGTTACTTCTTTATTTCTTAAGGGATCATATTCAAACTTCAAATATATGTTCCTTATCATGAACCACATCTTATGTGAAAAGGTTCATAACTCTAGCACCAATATTTTCAGTTTTATTTTCCCTTGAACTTAGAACTTTCCTTGAAAAATATTATTTTGTACTGTTACTTCTTTATTTTTTAAGGGATCAACTAAATATTTCAAATACATGTTCCTTATCATTAATCACATCTTATGCAACAATGTTCATTTAACTCTAGTGCCAATATTACAAGAATTATTTTCCCATGAACTTAGATTTTTTGACTTGAAAAATGTTAATTTTTACTATTATAACTTATTTAGTTTTAAAGGTATGTACCTCAAACTTCAAATATATATTCCTTATTGTCAACCAGGTCTTATGTGTTTAAGGTTCTTTACTCATGAATCAGTATTTTCAGATTGATTTTCTTTGAACTTTTCTTTAAGAAATATTAAAACTAGGTATCAACTTCAAATATATATTTCTTACCATTACATGCATGTTGTGTGACAAGGTCCATAACTCTAGTGTGACTATTTCCAGAATTTTTCCCCCTTGAAATTGAAATTTAGGTTTACAACTGTAACTTCTTGTCATTAAGAAGAAATATATTTATATCATAATTGATTTTTTCTTTCATAGTTTATCTTCCTTACTGCGTCCAGTATCTAATTAGTCTAGCTTCGCTGTCCCCTGTGACAGCTCTTGTTTCATTTACATGCCATGGAATTTGGTGTACAGATTTATCTTTAAAATATCTGTTTGGGTACGATCGAGCATTTTTTGACAGAGTTAAGCCCCTTTTACTTAACACAATTCCAATTACAGTAAAAACCCGCTTTACGACCACCCCGTTTTCGAGACCAACCCGCTAATACGAACGATTTTTCAAAGACCCGATTTTATTATTCTTTATATTAATGGTCGCTAACCCCGATTTTGAGACCACCCCGTTATTCCGTAATACGACCAGTAAATTCAGTTCCATTTCGTAAATTCTGTACATTTGGAAACCCATAAATACGACCGCGGGCACTTTCTCACCTTGATATTGACATGCATGTATATTGCTGAAATCATTTTGACACATAGTGTAAACAACAGTTGTCCTAGTTTTACGACATTTAACGACATCCAATTCACGGCAGAGGTCAAGGTTACTTTGTAGCAGCCCGGAAATGATCAATAATATTGTCGATAATTTCTTAATTTCACACCTTTAATGTAATAACTGCAGGATTAAAACAACAAAATATTGAACAGAAAACTTTCAATAAGTTTTTTAAAGGTGTTGCTGCTATCATTATCTCTTTCGTTCCATAATTTTAAACAAACATAAACATGATACGATAAGGTTTTTGAAGTTGTTATCGGCGATGAAAACTGTGAAAATAATTAAAGGTTAATTGGTCGATGTGCTTTGTAGTAAAATGGTGATTTAATTGAGTAAGTCGTGTCATTCTTTTTACAAGAATGTAAAAATATGTTTGTGTTTAAAGACATTCATAATACATTTTGTACCTCTAAAGAAGTTTAAAAATTTTATAATGTTAAAAAGTAAAAGAAAATAAATGAAAATAAAAAAATAATAGTGTATGCTTAATATCTTCTCATTTGAAATAGGTTAGCCCAGAATTAAACATGTGTACAGTACATGGTATCCCTTAATATATTGCCTGGTTTTCTGTTTGACCAAACTCATTAATGAGACCAACCCGCTATTAAGACCAGATTTGTAAAGTCCCTTCATTGGTCTCATTAGCGAGTTTTTACTGTATTTGCAATTTCCATTCATTTTCTTTGCAGAGATTGCACTTACTGAAATGGAATTTGGTATACAGATTTATCATAAGGATATGTAGGTCAAGTTCTGTTTTGGGTTACAATCGGTTAATTTTTTGTCAGAGTAATGTTCAAAAGATAAATTTCATTTCCATGTACACTGCCCAAAATGTATATTGCCTGGGGGGCATATGTATTTCACAAACATCTCTTCTTACATTAGAATTACTACAGAAAGATGATACAGTTAAACCAGACTCTAGCTCACATTCTTCAGAATCCATTGTAGAGACCATTTCATGTGAAGACCTGGATGAACAAATTAGAGAGTGGGAAAATTCTTCAACTTCTTCTATGACCAGTATAACACATATTCCAGATGATAAGGAAAAAAATATTAAATTAGACACAGTTTCTGAAGAAATAGGTGTATGTCCTTTACAAGGGACTGATTGTGTATCTGGTCGTACAGTTGACAATGCTGCTTATATACCTGAAACTCAAATTGCCAGAGGTGAAGAAGAGAATAAAGTTCCAGAGACACTGAATTTCAGCATAGAGAAAGTTGGTAATAGATATTTACTTAAATGTAACAATCTTGTAGTAAAAATCCCACAGCTGGAAGGAGCTTCAGGTGTGAGTGTTTGGGAAGATATTATCTTGATTGATAATGAGCCTATATATTATATTAAAATAGACAATGGAAAGGTAAAGATATCTAAAATAGGAGATGCTGAATGTGAAATTAATAGAAGTGACAACAGCACAAATTATTCAGGAAACAATGAAAGTGGCTTATATGTCGCAAGTCAGCAGCCTCAAAATGTTGAAGAAGAATCAGACATGAAAAAAGTAAGGGGAGCAACTCCAGATATGCAGAATGTTTTGAATCCACCACAAGAGAATGAAACAAAACCATTGAACCATCAAGATACAGTGGCTGATGTCAAACATACTGGCTCATTTGATGCTGATGTAATGAAAGAAGGAGGGAAAACAGCCTTTGGTGAGATAATTTTCCAGCTTGAAAATATAGACATAGAAGGTATTCATTAATTAAACAATGCATGTATGTCAAAATATGATGCATGCCTTAAATTAACAAAGCTGTGGATCATTGAATGTATTACAAAACTCTAAAAGAATTATTGTATAATATACAAAGAATGTTTTTGTAAGTGACTGTTGTTTGAATGTCTGCTGTTTTGTAAATTATGATTAGTAAATATAGATGAACAACTTTTCCCTGGATATAGTCTGGATATATAATTTATTAGAATGAAAAGTTACAATAAAAATTCTGATGAACACTTATAATAACTGTATTGAAAGTTTCAATTATTTTTAATTTGTAGATATTACAAGAGAACAACAGCAATCATTAGATGAAGCAGTGTCTAAAGAAGAAAAACCACCTATACCAGCCCCTAGATCTAAAAATAAAGGTATGCTGTGTCCCCTTTTTCATTGACCTACCATTACAAACATAGTTTTGTGTTTTTTCTGAAGATAGTAAACATTTAGCTTACATTTGGGACTGTATCAGTTGATGTAATTGGTGTTTAACCTAGTTTGAGAATTTATAACATGTAGAAATAAAAGCAAATTGTTCTTTCATCACTACTCTCCAACAACATTTGCAAATGAGATCCATGTGTTTGTAGTTTCATATATTTCAAGGATGTTAATATTTTACTTTTTGTGATTCAAATGGAGACACAAATACAATGTAGACACTTTTTATTCAATCCACCTGTCCCTCTGGATCCATACCTAACAATCCCTCCATCCTTAATTTAGTTCTCTTGAAATTTGCTGGAATGTTTATTATCCCCCGCCGAAAAGTCGTTGGGGGATAAACTTTAAAGTTATAGTCACCGTCTGTACGACCTTCCGTACGTCCGTCCCTCCGTCCGACATTTTTGTCCGCAGCATATCTCAAAAGTATTTGAGTTATCAACTTGAAATGTCATAGGTGGATAGACTTCTGACATTGAGGAGGAGTGCAGAGCACAAGAATGATAACTCTACCCTGCATAATTTTTGAGTTATTGCCTTTTGTTATTTTTCAAAATTAATTTTTGTCCAGAGCATAACTCAAAAAGCCTTTGAAATATCAACATAAAACTTCATAGGTGCATAGATCTCACTCAGGAGGTGTGCAGCTCACAAGAATGATAACTCTATCTTTCATAATATTTGAGTTATTGCCCTTTGTTATTTTTCATACTTAATTTTTCACCTGAGTGGAGCTAACTCAAAAAGTCTTTGAGATATCAACATGAAATGTCATAGGTGGATAGATCTTATTTAAGAGGAATACTGTGCACAAGAATGATAACTTTTCCCTATACAATTTTTGAGTTATTGCCCTTTGTTCTTTTTCATACTATTTTGTCCGGAGCTTATCTCAAAAAGTATTTGAGGTATCAACTTGAAACTTCATGGATGGATGGATTTCATTGAGGAGGAGTGCAGTGCACAAGATTAATAACTCTGCCATGCATAATTTTTGAGTTATTGCCCTTTGTTATTTTTAGCTCACCTGAGCATGCTCAGGGTGAGCTTTAAGGATCGATGATTGTTCTTCGTACGTCATCCGTCCGCATTTAGTTGTTAACACTCTAGCGGTCGCATTTTTGCCTCAATCATCAACAAACTTGGTCAGGATGCTTATCTAGTTAATAGCTCCGATGAGTTCGAACATGGGTCATCTTGGATGAGAAACTAGGTCACAAGAGCTAAAAATAGAAAAACCTTGTTAACACTCTAGAGGTCACATTTTTGCCTGAATCATCATCAAACTTGGTCAGGATGTTTGTCTAGGTGATAGCTCGGATGAGTTCGAACATGGGTCATCCCGGATGAATAAGTAGGTCACCGGAGCTAAAAATAGAAAAACCTTGTTAACACTCTGGCGGTCACACTTTTGCATCAATCATCATCAAACTTGGTCAAGATGCTTTTCTAGGTGATAGCTCGGGCAAGTTCGAACATGGGTCATCTCGGATGGAAAAATAGGTCACAGGAGCTAAAAATAGAAAAACCTTGTGAACACTCCAGCGGTCACATTTTTGCATCAATCATCATCAAACTTGGTCAAAATGCTTGTCTAGGTGATAGTTCGGATGAGTTCAAACATGGGTCATCTCGGGATGAAAAAGTAGGTCACTGGAGCTAAAATTAGAAAAACCTTGTTAACACTCTAGCGGCTACATTTTTGCATCAATCATCATCAAACTTGGTCAGGATGTTTGTCTAGGTGATAGCTCAGATGAGTTCGAACATGGGTCATCTCGGATGAAAAAGTATTTCACTGGAGCTAAAAATAGAAAAACCTTGTTAACACTCGAGCGGTCACATTTTTGCATCAGTCATCATCAAACTTGGTCAAGATGCTTGTCTAGGTGAAAGCTCTGATGAGTTCCACCATGGGTCATCTCGGATGAAAAACTAGGTCACCGGAGCTAAAAATAGAAAAACCATGTTAACACTCTAGAGGTCACAATTTTGCCTCAATCATCATCAAACTTGATCAGATTGTTTGTCTAGGTGATAGCTCGGATGAGTTCGAACATGGGCCATCTCGGATGAAAAAGTAGGTCACAGGAGCTAAAAATAGAAAAACTTTGTTAACACTCTAGTGGTCACAATTTTGACTCAATTGTCATCAAACTTGGTCAGGAAACTTGTCTAGGTCATTGCTGGGAATAAATCGAACATGGTTTGGTTGAAAAACTAGGTCACAGGAGCTAAAAATAAAAAATCTTGTAAACACTCTAGTGGCTACTGTTGTGATCCAAATATACTGTTAATTGGTCTGAAAGTTTTTTTTGATGATTTCTAAGTCAAGTTCGAACATGGGTCATCTTGGATAAAAAATTAGGTCACACCGCCCAAATATGGAAAAACCTTGTTAACATTCTAGTGGTCACATTTTCGACTGAATTATCATCAAACTTGGTCAGGATGCTTGTCTAGGTAATTGCTTGGAATCGCACGTGAAACTAGGTCACCGGAGCTAAAAATAGAAAAATCTTGTTAACACTCTAGTTGCTACTGTTTTGATCCAAGTATCCTGGAAATTGGTCTGAAAGTTTGTTTTGATGATTTCTAGGTCAAGGTTGAATATGTGTCACCTTGGTAAAAAACTAGTTCGCACTGCTCAAATATGGATAATCCTTGTTAATACTGTAGTGGTCACATTTTTGACCCACCTGTCATGAGTCTTGGTCAGAATGCTTGTCTAGGTAATTGTTTGGATGAGTTTGATAAGTCAGATGAGCGATCTAGGGCCATCATGGCCCTCTTGTTCAAATTTAATTTTTGTCCAGAGCATAACTCAAAAAGCCTATGAGATATCAACATGAAACTTCATAGGTGCATAGATCTAACTCAGGAGGTGTGCAGTGCACAATAATGATAACTCTGTGTTTCATAATTTTTGAGTAATTGCCCTTTGTTATTTTTCATACCTAATTTTTCACCTGAGTGGAGGAGGGATTCAGCACTTAAGAATGATAACTCTACCCTGCATTATTTTTTAGTTATTGCCCTTTGTTATTTTCAGCCATCAGTATTCACATAGGTTTCAAATCTGTAATCACTTCAGCCATCAGTTTTCATTACCAAAAGACCTCTAAAATGGAATTATTCTGCTCTACTATATATACATTCTTCCAATGAGCAAACACATTCGGCAGGGAATGGCCATGTTGACATGGCTCTTGTTTGAATAGTAATTTGGTGATCACCAACTTTTATCAAGGTCAAATTATTTTAACCCCGCACAACGAAATTGTAAGGGGTGTATACTGGAATAAGCTTGTCCGTCCAGCCATCCGACTGTCTCTCGTCCGGCGGCCGTCCGTCGGTTTTTCCTTGTCCGCCAAATAACTTAAGATTCCTTTGACCCACAGTGTTTATTTTTAGCTCAACCTTTTTATTTTTGAAAAAAAAAAAGTAGAGATATTGTTATAGTCGGGTCGGCGTTGCCGTTCCCGTTCCCATCCGCAAACTTGTACCTGGATCATAACTTTTTTATTTCTTGGTGTATTGTCTTCATACTTGGCCACAACAACACTTGGGACAAGACCTTTCAGTAGACCACACTAACCTTGACCTTCACTCATAAATGACCTTGACTTTGAAGGTCAAATTATTGAAATTTTCATTTTTTTGGCTATTATTGGATGTAACTTTGTTATTTTTGAATGGATTGTCTTGAAACTTGAACATACTAATCTTCAAAGATAACTGTTAAAAATATACCGAAAGACCTTGACCTTCACTCATTAATGACATTGTCTTTGAAGGTCAAATTATTGAAATTTTCATTGTTTTGGCGGTAACTGACTGTAACTTTGCTATTATTGAAGGGATCAACTTCATATTATAACAGAACATTCTTAAGGACCAGACCTTGTTGTTTATCAAACCCAAATTTGCTTGGGCTCTTTAATGACCTTGACCTTGAAGGTTAAATTACTGAATTTTCTCAGATTTGTGCATTAAATGACCATAATTATATATTATTGGTGTGTGTGTGTGTATATAATATATATATAGATTATATCTATGATCATCATCATCTCATCATCATCATCATCATCATCATCAACAACAACAACAGCAGCAGCAGCAGCAGCAACAACAACATGTTTCTAATTATAGAAATTGCGTAATGTTTCTATTTATGGAAATTGCGTAATGTTTCTATTTATGGAAATTGCGTAATGTTTCTATTTTTAGAAATTGCGTAATGTTTCTATTTTTAGAAATTGTGTGTTTCTATTTATAGAATTGCGTGTTTCTATTCATTAATATATACAAAATAGATAAACAAAACTAATGTGACAAGACAGACCAACTAAATTTATAAAAAGGAAACGTTAAGATATGTTCAAACCTTTCTATGTTTGCGTTTAGAACTAGAAATGTGTCATCATGCCACGGATGCCCCCGCATGCAGCCAAAATTTCAGATGGTGCATTAATTATTTTTTTCATTTTAAGTTCAAAGCCCTTAAAACTTTTCAATGTTAACACAAACCATTTTCATACAGTGTTCAAGGCACTGAAATTATTCAGTCTTAACCTTTTAAAAATATCTTATTGCATATTTGTAGCCTAAATAATGGCTAAAAGTATGAGTGCTGAAACTGAAAGTTCAAAATTTTTCCAACAATCAGGAAAGATAAGTAATTGTCTTAAATCATTGAACCACAACCAAATTCAAACATAACTGCTTATTCCTAAGATGTATCTATATATATATTATTTTCAAAGTGAAAGGGACATAACTCTGCCAAAAAATCAGCAAACCATGACCAAATTCCAACTTGACCTGCCCATTCCTTTGACATATCCATAGGTCAATTTTAAGTTGAATATGTAACATAGTTGGGTAGCTAATGAACAGAAACTGTAAATTTCATATTATTTTC